ATATATATCCTAAGGAAATATATATTAGGGATAAATGTGAATGCCTTCTTACTTTTGCCCTTTTTGGATGACTAGCTAAATTAGGAATATATATTTCCTAAGGAAACGAATCTTTCAGAAAAGTTGAAAGTGAGAAATATTAGCACTGTGTTGGTAATTATGGCTGGAGGTATAGCTGGATGAGGGGCACTGACCTAGCACAAGGGCCCTGGCTTCTTTCCCCAGCAAATATGTAGCTTACATTACTTTCCACACATTATTTTCTGTACTGGACAACAGCTTCCTATTGAACAAGCTTGGCTTTGTGTAACCAGCAACAATCATGAAACATGTAACATGTATGTTCTTTGGCACCTCCAGCAATGAAAGAGAAAAGTAAATGATCTTCTAGATGGTCAATAGCCATGGCTTTCCTTTAAAGGGCATGGCTCTCCTTTAAAGGGCATGGCTCTCCTTTAAAGCTCCTGAAGTTTTGTTCTTGTTGCACATGTGAGATAAAGTGAAGCATATTATTTTATTTCTTCTCTTATATTTAAGGAGATTAATCCAAGGCCCTTATTCTGCATCTCTGTACTTTCTGATCTATAGTTAGTAAGTATATATAGTTAGTAACTGGCCACAGGGACCTTCAAACCTGAATTAATCTTAACTAAGTACAATTTAGCATTCATGCCTTCAGTAACACTGACCACATTCCGAACACTTAGTTACCCCAGATGTCAAGTGTCCCATAACTGGACAGTGCATCTATAGTCTTTCCTCATCATTATGGACAATTCTTTGGGACAGCACTCTGTACAACATCAAATTTAGAGTCTTTATCAATCCAGAATTTCCATGCAAAATCAGATAAGCACAAAACCACTAGTTGAATAGATAAAACTAAATCCTCATCTGATTATTGCTAAAGATCCAAGAGCTAAATTACCAATCAAAGCAAAAACAACATCTAATCTATACATAGTGGCTGATTAGACATCTTCTGGAGTCCATGGAGGAAGAAGATGTCCATTACTTGCTGACCCTGAACTACAAAGGTATTATACTTGTTAATTATTTGTTTAGTATTTATTATTTAGAGCACACTTAGGAAGATAAGCAACCAAATTCATGCCATGTGGCTTTAGAGAAATCATGACTAGACTTCATACTCCACAAAATGAAAAAGTAGATAAATTCAAACTCCCTTTTCCCCTTTGAAATGTTTAGGTCTCATAGCTTTGTTCAGTTTACGTAATGTCCAGGGAATTTCACAGATTTCAAAGATATATACAACTTCAAAGAGCTTAATTAATAAGGCAGCTGTATAAACAGTACAAGCTCAGGCATTGTAAGTGTCATAAGAAATGGCATAGCCAGCACATCCTACAGAACTTGCCTCTTCATAGTGAGAGGTAGGAAAACACTCACCCTCTTTTCTCCTTAGTAAAAAATATAGCAACATGGTCTAGCTCACCTGGCACATACAAAAAATGTTTAATAATTTTTGTCAAATAAATGGTGATAATATTGTTCAACATAATAGACATCTATTAAAGACCTGATATGTGTTAGACTACTCAAAACATTTTTCCTAGACTATCTCATTTAACATCTAAATGGAAGAGACTTGCACCCTTTCTTATCATTGCATTGATAAGGAATTAAAGTGAAAGGCACTGAATCACTAACTTACAGCCACACAACTAAACTGGAGCAAAGCTCAATTTTATAGCCAAAGCTTCCCAATTTAGCTAGTCACCTAAAAAGAGCAAAAGTAAGAAAGCTCTAACATTTATCCCTAAGAACTTAGCTAAAATCACAAAGCTGACATTTTCCTATACATTTGTCAAGAAAATAGACTAACAGATGACCCTTCTAAACAGGTCTCTTAGCCAAAATGTCTTCTAGTCTAGATCAGGTGGGTAACTGACCTAGAGCTAGAACCAAGCTTATAATGGTCTGTTGGAGCTCTGATGTTCTCAGATTTTTGTTAATGGAATTAGACATAAGACAAGAGGAATCAAAAAGAAAGCAGGTGAGCCGGGCGTGGTGGCACACACCTTTAATCCCAGCACTTGGGAGGCAGAGGAGGCGGATCTTTGTGAGTTCGAGGCCAGCCTGGTATACATGGAGAGTTCCAGAGCAGCTGGGGCTACAAAGAGACCCTGTCTCAAAAAGACAAAAAAAAGAAAGAAAGAAGGTAAAATGTTTATGTTGCCACGAGCAAGCAGCAGAAAGAAACCATGTCCTTTTCCCCCTGAGGAACTGAGCACCCACTCTATCATTTACAATTATGTTATAATTAGATTGATATTGTGTGGGATAGAAATCTTCATAGCCCTGACATTCAAAGGTTTCATCACTGGTACAAAGTGAGGAGCATCCATTTGCTTGTTTTCCTCAGTTCTATTTTCAAGGAGACTTAACATTTATTAGGTCACTAAATTGTCCAGATTTGAGATATTTCCATAGTCTCTGCAGTGTTCATATTCTGTCACCCACACCACCTAAAAATAGCAAGCTTCCCATCACTCAGGGGAACCACAAGGCTATTAGAAGGCAATAAAATCCCTGGACAGCTTCTCTTTGTGCATCTGCACTTTCCTCTGATCAATCAGATTCAGAGACACTGGAGATGGAAAACAAAAGAGATAAAATTCAAGATGCAAATTCTCCCATCCATCCCACAAACATGGGTGAACATCAATGACCATGCAAAGAGCTCAACCTGGGGAGGCATAGCTGCTCTGAAGCCATCGATTATTATCCAGAATTTATCACTGAAGTATCACCCATAAAAACACTTGCATCTACTCCAGAAGATATGCTATGGAGGATGATCCTGTCCTGTTTCAGGGCGTTTATTCATACTTTTGTCACTGAGGAAAGGAAAGGGAAAGGCAAGTCTGATTGTCTTTATGGTAGACAACATCCCCTGGTTCAGAAAGGAGATTCCTAGTCATATGATGGAGAAGATGTTCCAGTTCAGAATGTTGCAGAAATGTTATAAAAATTCTCATGCTCCTTGCCTCCTACCCTAGTCCTTACCTTAAAAACCTGGGGACTTAAATGCCCAGGACCTGTGTATTTGTTTACACACTCCTTCCTTTCCCAACAGGCCTTTGTCTTGTGTTCACCCATAAATATTCTTTACTAACAGGTACTAAACCCGGACAGACCAAGATAGCTAAAATGAAAAAATAAGAAAGATTGTTTTTTTACGACGGAAGCTGCATCAAGAAACAATGACGCCCTCGAGGCTGATGAGACTGGCCATCCCGCAAAGACATATGAGTTAAGTTAAAGCAGAAAACAGCAGCACCTCACCATGGAGAGACTCACCAGGTCTGTGGTCCAGGATCTCCAGAAGGAAAGAAGCCACTCCCCTTTCTCAAAGGAGTGTTGACTCTGACTGAACAGAGGGACATCCAAAATAGCTTCCAAAAGCACTGAGGTAAAGCTACATCATAGACGCCCTTGCAAATATGGGGTACTGGTTCCCCCTGTGCCTTCAGGTAAGAAAAGCCAGCTGTTCCATCCTGCTCATGGACTAGAGGACTCTTACCTTTACATAGTACCCTAGTATCGCAACCACAATACACTATCCTATTGCCTGAGCACCTATATGTAGTAGGTACTTAATAAAGGCTAGTACCTGTTTTCATCTCCAAAAGGTATTGTAAAGTATACAAGACATTATTTTCTCTTTAATAGCTAAAATAAACAGCTTCTTAGTAACCTTTATCCCTTTACCCTTAAGTCTTTCTTGCATAGAAAAAAGTAAAAAGACACAAGTGGAAGACAGAGTATTATAAAGAAGATGAAGAGACTATGGGAAGAGGATGGAATGGAGGACAGACTAGCATAGGGAACAGAGAGGCGCCCAGTGAACTTGACGTGTCTGCTATTTCAAAAACATGATCCTTCCAGTAAGATAATGAATGAGGAAAACATTTTCATTTTCTTTTCTGACAGCTGGGGCATAAATGGTTGCTGCAATAGTATCAGAAATTATTGGACATTTTGAGCATTCTTGCTAGTGAGGCGCCAGCATTACAGCCAATTTGAAGTACTGGCCCCAAGGTGCCCTAGCAATTTTGTTTTTCCAATGCAAGAATGTCAGCTTTAAGACAGGAGTGATGTATGCTGTCTAGTGGGCAGCATGCTGGCCAGACATCACACTTAGAGAGCATCTCCCTGTGCACTGAGTTCTAGCTCGCTGTCCTTTGCAAATAGTGCTGCCCAGGAACAGAGGTTGCTCCCAGAGCTGACCAAAACTGAGAACAGCATTTACAATTCATCAACCCAAAACAGAACTCACTTCTGACATGTCATCCCTAAAAATGTGTCAAGAAACTGGTCTGGTTCCAAGGCAAGTGGGAGCTGGCTGAATCACAAGAAAACTGATCATTTCTAGTTAGGACCTGTCTGAAGGGAGCCTAGAAAGCTCCAGAAATAAAAGTGTCCAACCCACGCTATTTTACACACTCTTAAAGAAGTTTTCCTCAAATACCATGGACAACATATCACTGCAATTTAATCACCTGGTTATTCGAAGGCAACATTATAAATCAAAGAAGTGCTAAGACAAGTACTTGATCTGCAGTAATTTTTTAAATGGACCTCACACATCAAATGAACTCTTGCAATCAACCCCGACTGCCTTGCAGGTACTAGCCCTGACCACTAGGCAGCACTATCAGACCCTGAAGCCTTCACTACAACAACATCTGCTCAGCCCAATGATCAGGGTTTAATCCACTGAAGATTTTCTTCCATAAAACCACTATGAAGGAACTGTGAATGTTGTTCAGTGGGTAAAGTGCTTGCCCCACAAGCATAAGGACCTAAATTCAGTCCCCAGCACCCACATAAAAACATGTGCTATACATTCTGGAATTGGTAAGATAGAGATAGGCAGATCCCCAGAGCTCACTGGTCAGCTAATCTAGCCTAACTGGCAAGTTCCAGGGCAGAAAGAGACTTTCTCAAAAAATCCAAAGGGATGTCTCCTGAGGAATGACACCAGAAGTTGACCTCTGACCTCCATATGCATATACACACACATGGACACACATGTGCAAACCCCACACACAAACACTGTGGACTTTTCCACGGAAAATAGATCCCTGAATTTGTTTGTTAATTTTGGAACTCTTCAAACCTGTTATTAGGATAATCATGATGGAGAGAGACTTCAGCCAGAGAGAAGACACGGTCACACCGCAGCTCTCCTAGTATTACACTTTGATAACCATTTACAGTTTCCTATCTCTCCCAAGAGTGTTTGTAAGAGTCATCCACAGCCTTTCAAGCTAAGATGGAAACAACACATACATGTCTTGAGTGCCATGAGTATTCTGATCAGTGTATGTGCAGAGATACCACGGAGAGGGGAGGGGAGGGGGAGGAATACCACAAAGCCTGCCGGTTCAGATCACACTTTCAAGAACTGCACTTCAACAGCCAAGCAGAAGTGGAAAATTGGCATCAGTCGATAAAAACAGCAATTTCTCTCTCTACTCTCCCCACTGTTATTGAGCAATGCCCTGTTAGGACTGAAGATCTTTTCTAAACCTTTGACTGACTACCTGATTAATAAGTACTGCAACATAAAGCCTATTCTTTCGCAAAGGTGAGGCTGTTGAAACATCCCAATATATAGATTCAACCTATATGTCTCTGCAGTTACTTTGCCATTCCTGTGAAAAACTGGCTCTTCAGAGAAGATATCGAATGGAAACCCCATATAAGATACTAGGAACAAAGGTACATCAAAGCATGAAAGTCATGATGTCAGTTTGTGTGTGTGCACAAAGACATACAGGATGGCCAGGAAATGAAAATGAAGGAAAATGTTGATGAAGTATCTGGTACTATTTATGGATCATTATTTATATCACAAAAAAACTTAAAAGTTATATGTTTTATGATATGAAATCTATAGTTTGACTTTATAAACAAAATTTATTGAGCTCAGTTCTTTCTTACCAGTAGTGTTTTATTAGTGATTTCTTTTTTGAAAACTAAGTGATACATGCCATTAGCTCTAAACAAAGAGCTAATCAAAGAAGGATAAAATGAATATTACAAGCAGTTCCAAGATCAACTAGAAATAATGGTTTTTAAAATGAAATGTTACCAAGAGGCAGAGGCAAGAGAATTGCTGCAAATTCAAGGCCAGTTTGGACTGCACAGTGAGACCACATCTCAAAAAAAAAAAAAAAAAAAAAAAAAAAAAAAAAAGTTAGGTTAGGTTATTTCTATAAAATCAGCCTACTCTAGAAGCTTAAATTTAGAACTAATAGTAATTTGGACTATACAGCAATTTACATAGCAAATTTTAAATTAGCAATAAGGAGACTCTGGTACGCTAAATAATCAAATAATGATGTCCAAGTTGTTTCTCAGTTGTTTATAGGCAAACAGAAAAAGACTTAAAAGCTTACTACCATAGCTTCCCATCCAAAAGTACAGCTCTCCACATTGCATACACACAAAGATTTCTTTCAATTCTCATATCTTACATATTACAATATTCAGAGTCACATCAAATAACAGAAAATTTAATAATTTATTTTGAAGCACCTGCCACCAAAATGTTTTTCCTCAGAACTCTCTATAAAATATGCAAGCACCCAGTTGTTTCAATCAATGTAGTAATGCAGTTGTAATAATTTAGGCTCAAGTGGATGGTAATCTTTATTCACTCATTTGGATAAAAAGACTGAAATAGTCAACTTCTTCATACTGTGTTTTCCCAGACATATCTAATTGTATTCTCAGGTATACAAAATAGTACTGTCCACAGGCTTCAGGATAAAGCAGTGAGCATGAGGCCTGGGTACCATGAATCTCCTTACAGCAATAAAAATATTTTCTCCAGTACATTCCTTAATACCTTTTAATGACTTGGCCACACAAGCAAAAAGCTGGGATTCTGCATGCATCAAGGCAACACACAGCCTTTCCTCTCTGTCACAATCAGCTCACATTTCACTGAAAAACCAAATGCACGCTCATCCTCAACTCCTCAGTGGGCTCATGCTAATCAAAACCCTTAAGGGTGTTCTTAGCCTTGACATATGATTACCCTTTGCCACTGTCAGTGTTAACTAAAGCAGTCTCAGCTGATACACATTCCAGGTAATATGCTGAAGAAAAATAATTCCAGTCAAAATTGCAAAAGAAGCAATCGGTGTAGAAGTTACATAAAGAATACTGCATCCTTAATTTTAGTAAGCTTGTTGATTATAACCAGCACAAAGTTACCTAAGCAACCAGTCTGAAGCACACACACTGCCCAAGTGTGTCTTTATTTATGATGGTGGCTCAATGTCTAGAAGTTTGTTGCTGCTAGAACTACAGAAATCTATCAGATCTGTTTGTGGAAGGGGAACCCTCTGGAATGTACAGTTTTACCTCATGGGCATGTGACACTAGACAGTAGATACTTCATATAAAAATTACATAAATAATATAAAGTAAAAACTAAGGCTAAGGCATAGAGTTGTTTAGCTATGAGTAAAATCATAAAACCAGAGACATTCACAGACTCATTTACTCTTGCCACAGAACTGAAAAGTAGTCTATTTTTATTTCCAAAATGTGATACACTTACGTAATTATTATAACCTAAATGTTTGGGAGTATTAGAAAAGACTTCTAAAATTACAGCAGATGCTATCAAATCATGTGTAATAAGCAAAATATATTGAACTGCCAAACTTGCTATAATTGCTAATGACAGGTGACTCTATGTAAAAACCAGCAGGCCTCATCGTCTCTGTGTTTCTATCCCTGTCACTTGGGATCCTCAGATCACCTTCAAGTATAGTACACAGTCACTGATGATCTGGGAAGTTCACAAGGCCATAAAGTTGATAAAGACTCTGATGTAAAGAAAGAAAACACTTGGCAGCCAGAAGTCTCCAGTTTACAAAGAAAGTGCAAAATTCTTACCTTTCTGTACACCAACATGTTGGGTGATTCATCCGCCACCCCATTGCTGGTCTGCCCATAATTATTCCCCTGGGCCATGTCACCCAAAGCTTGGTCCACTCTCAGATTCAAGGGTTACCAGCCTGCCCTGCAAAGAATTTGAGAGGTTCAATGAGATGGAGTGCTCAAGGAGGCAGGACCCCTTAACTTATCTTCCTATTTGCATGGCCCAATCCACAAGAAGCTTACAAGCCTGGGCTGGCTGGAGGACATGGAACGTTCATAGACTTTAAAAGAAGAGTTTACACCCGGAATATCACCTGGAATTTTAGCTGACAAGCTTCCAGTTAGAAACAGCCTTCTGGCTATTGATTTTGTAGGCTTGGTTTTGAGGTCAGTGTTTCTTAACAAGTGTTAGACGCTCACTTAACACCCGGTGGTTAGCACTTCCCTGGTACTCACAGTTCTCCCTTAGTGCTTGACTCCACTTACTTGACACTTTTCCCTGACAGAAAAGCAACAGCAATGCAGCCCACTTTTTCCTAGGTGGCTGCTAGTTTCCCACTACAGGCGCATCAGAGGCCCACTGCCCACAAGTGTCGTTTTCCAGCACGTTTGCTCTCCATCCTACCCCCAGCCCCACACAGCCTGGGCATCCGCTTAGCCACTTTGACCGGCCTTCTCTGGCTCCTCCGCTGCTCCCACCCGAGTCCGCTCTGTCCCTCTGGACACAATCATGCCTAATCTCTGCAAGAAAGCACCCAAAATAGGTCCAGGCAACCCGAGGCCGGTGGGAGGTTCAGCCTTGGGCCACCACCTGGATCACCCTGAAGAGAAAACCTAACTGCACACGCCTCAGAGACATCAGCCAGAGAGGAGAGAGAAAGCAAGCGAACCCCAGCTCCCCTTGCTCGGCCTTGGCTCACGGCGGCAGCAAATGGCAGGCAGCCTTGCCCCGCGCAGCGAAGCACCCATCGGCGGCACCGGGCAGCAGTTTCAGCACCGTGGACCTCGGGGTGCGCGGCGCCCCAGCCCGAACAGGCGCGCCGCTCCGGGGGACGTTCGCTCCCACGGGCGCCGAGCGAGGGCTGGGTACGGGCCGGGGGTCCCAAGGACTCCGGGAGGCGCCCCCGCATCCCTCCCGCCTCCTCCATTTACCTCCTCGGCCAAGGTCACGGCCCCTCGGCGGCTCCCTTCCCGGGCGGGCTGAGGGCAGGCGCTGTCAGCTGGCGGCGAGCGGAGCAACCAGGCAGGGCAGCTTCATCACACTCGGCGGGTGCGGATGCCGCGCCGCCCCTGCGCCCGCTGTTCAGGCGACCGCCACCCTCGCCGCCGCCCGTGCACAGGCGGCTCCGGCAGCCACCGCTCGCGCCCGCTCCCCGGGGCTGCCTGGCTGGCTCCCTCCTCCTCCGCTTCTCCTGGGGGCACTGGGACCAGCCGAGCGCGCGCGGGAGTCCAGACGCCCGCCCGGCCTGTGCGCGCGACTGGGAGGAGGGAGGAGGCGACAGTCACGTGGGGCAGGGACGTCCGAAGGTGCCGTGCCGGCTCGGATGGGCTCCGCTAGGCGGCTGCCACACCCCTGGGTGTCCCGGTCTCCCGACCCTGCAGCCCCTGGGGAGTACAGGCCCTGTCCCCCAGAGTGGGCCAGGCACAATCCCGCGCCCCGCGCCGGCGCCGCAGGCCTGGAGATGCACACTGAGCGCCCGTAAGCAGGAGGGATGAAGGGTTTGGCGGTGGGTGGGCGGATGGGGCGGATGGATGGATGGATGGATGGATGGATGGATGGATGGATGGATAAGGCCCCCTTGCAGCTAGCAGGTTTGCATCACGTGCTGGCAATCCTGCTGGCAGAACTAAGGAAGAGAACGATTGAGAAACAGGGAAGAGAGATGCTCAAATATCCCAGAACTGAAAGCCACCGCAGGGACCAAATGACTCATTCGCAGAGCACACCCCCCACCCCCACCCCCACCCCCCCACACACTCACCGTTTGCCTGTGGCTGCCACAGCCTTCCTAAGTTGGAGAAAGGAGAAGGATTTGGAGGTTGCGACCTAAAGAGGAAAATCTCCCACCTGTGACATCGAAGGGCTAAAGTCTGGGTGCTTTAATTCACCAGACTTAGAGGAACTTGACTCTTTCCTGTCTATGACTTCTACCTGTGTTCAAAGAGAGTCTGGGGTTGCAGATAGCTCTGATCTACTCTTCAGGGTCCTGTCACTAATTCCATAAGGGTTAGAAGGATATGAAAGAGAAAAGACCTTTTTTTCCAGGGTTGTAATAATGAAATGTACATCCAGCTGTCTGGGACATTAGGAAGTTGTAGGAACCTGAGGGCCTGAGATGGTTGTTTCTTCTGATGGCTGAAAGGTATGCAGCCAGGGAGGGAGGGGGATAATTTAGCCACTGCAATTTTGTGTGTTTGCAGGACTGTACCTAAGGCGTCTTACCAATGAGCTATATATACCACACTCAACGCCCATGACCCCTTTCCTGAACTCTTTCAAAAATTTTCAGTCAGGATCTACCCAGGCTAGCCTTAAAGTTACTCTGTGGCCCAGGCAGGCCTGGAGTTAACCGTTCCCCCTGCCTCTGCCTCCCAAAGACTTGGGATTACAGGCCTGTGACATCAATCAGACTTGATTCCAGTGCCCTCTGTTGTTCCTTTGTCTAAGCAGAGACAGGTAGACTTAAGTGGACCAAGACTGCTATTCAGGTAGCTGTGGGTGCCAATCACTTCCCTAGCTGTGCCCTAGCTCTGTCAGGTGTCACTCAAAAGAGTAATATTTACCTAATTTGGCCACTGTTCTAAGTACCAGGGACAAGACCATTTTCCCAGACCTGTTACCCTCAGCCTAATCCAAGTTCTCTCCTACTCTCTCCAATCCCCCAAATCTTTTCAGTGCTCTGCAAAATTCCCTTTGTTTCCAACTTCTTTGAAGGTTTGCTTAGTATTCTTGCTCTAGTTGAAGTCTGCTGCCCCCTGTTCATCCTCTTCCCTCCCTACCTTGTCCTTTGCTCTGGCAACTCTTGGTATATTGATGTGGTTTAGGATGAAAAATGTGGAAAGAGCCACTGGGTGTTCTTACTAGTCTGGCCACTTTCTTCCTGAACGGGAACTGCCTGAGGGATTCTGTATGACTGGTTACAGTTGCCACTCAGGGATAAAGGAAGAAGCTTCCCAGCACCAGTATGATTCTTTTTCTGTTATTGTGAAGTCTCACTACACACACATTTGTGGCACTATATGAGAGACAAAATATTACATCAGTCACCTTAATATTCCGGAACTCACATTCCAATTTAAACTCAGCGATATAGCCTGGATCTCCCCAAATCCACCCAGACTTTAGATTTTAATAAGTTCTCTTTTGTACTTTACTCCTACATAGTGGGGACCTTTATGCTATAAATAAGAAAAATAGACAAACATGGATATTATGGAGGTTTTTTCTGTTTCAAAAACACATAAATATGATGTAATTATCAACCATCATCGTTCAAATTCATTTTACAATTTTCTTTGTGAACCATATATTTTGTAATACTTTTATTACACAGGTTAAATTACAAATTATTATATCCATTTTTACATGCCAAACAAAAACTCTGGTTAACAGAAAAATGACCTGTAGGTTCATCGCATGGCAAAGACTTTTCAAAGTTTTATCCTTGGGGCTGAAGAGATGGCTAGGAACACTTGCTGCTCTGCCAAAGGACCCAGGTTTAGTTCCCAGCACCCACATGGTGGCTCACAACCACCTGCATGCATGTGCTACACATATATATACTCAGGCATACACATAAACATGAAATAAATTGTTTTAAAAAGTTTTTATCCTTATGTCTAACTTCAACAATTTTATCTTGGAAAAGAAACTGTATTAGTATTTTTGAAATAAAGAAAATAGTTACCGATACAGGCATGCTTTTTCATTCAACTAGCACTTTTTTTTTTTAATCTTTTTGAGACAGGGTCTCCCTGTAGTCCCAGCTGGCCTGAAACTCACTGTGAAGGCTGGCCTTGAACTCACAGAGATCCACCTGCCTCTATACAAGTACTTTTTTAAAAAATATTTTATTTTTATTTTTATTTTATGTGTATCTTATGTGTATGAGTGTATTGCTTGCATGTATGTAATTGTACTCATGTTGTGCAGTGCCCATGAAGGTCAGAAGAGATCATTGGATACCCTGGAACTGGAATTACAGATGGTTGTTAGCTGCCATGTGGGTGCTGGGAATCAAACCCAGGTCTTCAAGAGCAGTCTGTGCTCTTAACCACTGAGCCATCTCTCCAGTTGAAAGTAGTTATTTACTGTGCATGAAACTTTCTTATTTTTCTACAAAGAATGAAAAGAAATACAGTAGGTGTCTTTGTCCTTGAGGCATCTCCCATTGGGAAGGTAAGATTCCCCCTTGTTCTCACAACTTGATCCAGTCTGACCAACAGCTCCTCCTGACTCTGCCTGGAAACGGCCACCTCTCTGCTTCTTCTCTGCTGCCCCTCTTCTCTGAGCCAGAACTGAGTACATCCTGGACAAAGGCAGAGGCCTCCCCACGGGTTTCTCCGCTCGCACCCCTCCCTTCAGGTCAGTATGCCACCCATGGCAGCCAGAGTGATCATTTCTAAAGTAAGTTACCTCATTTCTCTACTTCACATCTCCCAATGAACCCTGGGTCTCTCAAAATGAAAGGTGTCCTTAAGATGTCAACAATGGCGAGGGTGATAGGACGACGCTGTTGCCACTCTTGATCTTGGTGTGCTACCTTGGCTCCTCACTCTGTTCCAGACACATGGTTCCCCTGGATTCTTTACATATTTCAGGCATCCTCTGCCTGGAATGCTCTTCCTTCACATATTGTGACCTCTCTTTCTTCCATTCTTAACTCAGAGATGCCTTTTGTTGGGTCCTGCTGTGTCGATTCTCCTTGCCCTCCTCAACTTCCCTATACTGATTTTTTTTCTACCTGGAGTGTCTATTCCTTATACTATAATGATGCAGCTTGCTCCTAAGTACATTTGCTGTCTCTCTTATAAAAGAATTTAAGTTCCATGGTGCCATTCACTGCCATATCCTCGGACACACGTAATCTGTCTGACAGGACAGGCATTCCTTAATTACCTGTGTACCTAAGGATGGAGAGGGATATGAATACAGCTCACTGTGTACCCCTGGGCAGACTGGAAGAGCAGCAGTCAACACCCTCGAACTGAACCGAGTAGCATCAAACCCCACAGTGAACAGAAATAATCTGTCCTTCAAACCTGCTTCCTCTGCATCATCAGGGGAGAAAGCAAGCTTTTCTCCCATCATACACCCGCTTCACAGAGGAATACTCTGAGCACTAATTAAATGGCAACGTGAAGAACGCATTTTGATTTTCTAGTAAAAAGCTCATTATTAATTTGAGGCTATTTGCTGTGTGAAAGAATTGTAAGTGACACAGGGCAAGCAGGAAGATGAGAAGAGAGTTAGAGGGAGAGGGCTGTTCACAGCAGTCCATTGGAGTTTTACAGGATAATTGCTTTAAAAGTCATATAAGGAAGTGAAGAAGTGTGGTTTCAGATCTTTATGAAATAGCATCTGTGTAATCAGCTCTCTATTATTTACAGCACAATACATTCATTATTGAATTATTCCCCGCTCTTGCAATCCCTTTGTCCACTTTGTGGCCATTTTCCTGCTAATTATCCACAGCAGTATCAGAGCACTGGTGAAGGAAAGGGGGATGTGAAATTAAGATTTGTCCTTATCACGCATCTATTCCTCTCACTTTCCCAATAAGATTTTTAAGTTCTGATCTAATGCCATTCCCAGATTACCCAGTTCTAAAATGCTGGTCACTCTTGATGAGACTCTGAGTAATGTTCAGGATAGAATTCTGAAAGTGTTGACAGTTAGAACTTGCCTTTGAGATTGATGAAACAACCCTGGAGAAGGCATCTGAAGATTCACTTGACTCCTTTTCTTAGAATCTGGGGAACACTAGGCAAACAGCTTGACCAGCCTCTGCTTCCTGTTCTTCAACTGCAAAATGTGATTTGTGCCATGGGTTGGTTTTGTTCTCCTATGAAAATCTCTATTCTGAGGTATGTCCGTCAGCTTTCAAGCACTGTGGTAAATGTCTAAGTTCATCAACTCATGAAAAGTTTGTGTATGTTCACGGTTTAGGAGGTTCAAGTCCATAATCAGCTGACTATGTGTTTGGGCCTGTGGTGGAACAGCGTGTTATAGAGAAGAGTGAGGCAGAGCAGAGCCACTCTTGAGCAGAAAGGGAAAAACAAAGAGGGAGGACCTGAGCTCCTTTCAAGATCATAACCCCAAAGACTTAAAGTCCTCCCACCACGCCCTGCCTCCTGCAGGTTCCACCACATCACAGCAACTCCCTGCTGGTGACCATGCCTTGAACATTTCAGCCTTTGAGGGACACTCCAGCAACAGTCTATAGCAAATTAAGTATTGGAAAGGCAGTCTAGATCAATCATGTTCTCCATATCAAAAAAAAAAAAAAACATTAAAAAAAAAAGTAATCTAGAAATCAACCATCATTTCTTTTGGGCAGGTGCTTGGACTACTCTGTCTACCATCTTGAAAACAGTACTTCCCGGGACTGGAGAGATGGTTCAGCGGTTAAGAGCACTGACTGCTCTTGTGGAGGACCGGGGTTTGATTCCCAGCACCCACATGGTGGCTAACAATCA